CTCCCTCCCCTCCTTCCCCACGGCTACCTGCCCACGCCATCGCACTCTGCCACACCGCGGGCTGCCAACCTGCACCGGCCCCAGCGAATGCTAATTAAACAATATTATTAGTTAGCCATTTCCTAATGCCTCATTAAAACGCACAGTACAATCATTCATCAAAGCAGTGAGAGATTTTGGAAGCTCTTTAAAACCAAGCTAAAATGGGCGAGGGTCTCTCCAAATAAGCGAAATTTGTCAGGAATGGCCACATGCGTTTCTTTACACTATGGAAAAGTTGCAACACTTTTGGACCCCTCTGGTTGGCCTGGGAAATTGCTGGTCACCTGATACCTCCTTAGGATGGAGAGCTCTTAAAGAAACAAACTGCCACCACAAAAGTTGGTAGGGTATAGGTGTCCTAGCCTACGCACACACACGTGCACTTTTGAAGCAGGCAGCTGACTGGTTCCAGAGCCCATGTTGGAGATTAAAGTCCTCAGTAGCTTTCTCAAAATGAATAACTCTTGCTTTATTTTCATATTAGATATCTGGTACACCACAGATTATACTGTTCGAGAAAACATTCTAAGATTTGGTTAAAAATCCTTTGACTCGGATGCTGCCTTTCCCAAAAGTGTAATTAGGCATCTTACATTTAACATAGTGAACTCAAGGGTACAATTCCCAGGATTCCAGCTAACACAACTGGTTCTGCTAGTGATCTTCCTGCAGAAACAAAACACATCAAGCATTTGACTTTGCTCTGCTGGTCTTGTAGATGCCAAAAGAACCTTTAAAGTCCAGTTTGGGGCCTGTAAAATCTAGTTTTTAGTCAAGTACCCATTCAGTTGAAATATAAACTTTCACTGAAACATTGGAGTAGAGATCGGACAAAATCTGTGCTAGTGTATTTGTAAATATACATTCCTTTTCCCTGGAATATACAGGTTAAAGCTAAACACAATTCCAATGGACTATTAAAACATAAGACTTTTATTCTGTTTTAGTAGGTGATCTTGAAGTTGTGAAGTGTAAAACTTTGCTCACTACTTGTAGTATACTATCCTCTATCTGACACATATTTTGCCCTAAAACACGAGCAAGCAGAATTAGGATGTAAAAAAATCTAAGAGCCCCGTATATAGATTATTTAATTGTTTTGCTGCCCTTTATAGTATATTTCATGTTGCAAATATGTCATGGAATTTTGTCATGCAATGCAGCTGGCAAAAATCCTGTATTAAGAGTGATCAGTTGGCTTCTGTCTTGCGATTGCTTACAGTTGTGCTAACCTCATGCATTTGACTTTAATGGGTCTAGGGAAAAAGTAAGTAATATTGGCAGGCCTTTATTTCTGACAGTCCTTGAATTTTGAAGTCCGTGCTTAATGCAGCATTATGCATTCTACCTGTGGGATAGTTTTTCAAATTTTGTTTTTATTGTAGCACTACAATAAAAGAAAAAACAACAAAAAATGGAAACCCCTTAGATTCAAAAAGAGAGCATGTTTAAGAAGAATATGATTGTCAGAAAATTGTACTGCCAGAAGTCTGGAGTTAGAGAAGAGCAAATAGAAAGCTTTGCATTTTAAACAATGGTAATTCCCTTCTGGCACTAAATTCATCTTTAATCCACAAACTAAAATGTTGCCATCTGTTGTCTTCCTCCTTTCTCCCTGTGCAGACTGGTGCTGATAGGTATTCACAAGACCTTCAAGCAGCCTGCAAACTATAACTTCAAATGTATGAGTAGAAGATGTCCATCGTGATATGTCGACCTTATCTCTCTCTCATTTTTTTATTTATTTAAATCTATCAGGGTCTTAGATAATACACACCTTTCAGCTATGGAGCTTTTAAATTTGGAGAAGGCGCAGTTACACAGTCCAAGGGTGGAGTATTTAAAACTTGCACCCAGAGCTTAAGTTTACCAGTTGCTCTCACGTGTATGTGCCTCTAACACAACAGAGTAAAGGCAGAGAAGAAAAATTCAATGCAATGTTGATGAGCAGGAGGAGCTGGAACACACTGCTAACACTGAGCAGCCTTTTAAAAAGCAGGCAATACATTTAAATAATACTTGTCAGACAAGAAATGTCTTCAAATAAAGATGGGGAATCAAGAAAATAAGTGCTGCTACACACACCTACACTTGAACCTCAGTTGAAGTGTATCGCTATTGGTGATGTTAATAAAAGTCTGCAGGATTTGGTATGGTCAGAGATTGGGATAAGTCTTTCTCTTGCAATTGCGTTTACTGGGAGAGGAACTAGTAGTGTAAATTCCTATCCAAACTGGTGATGGCTATTTTGTGGTTTCACAGCCTTCTGAACTGTGAAGAAGTGCGATGTAACACTATGTGTGAAAACCAAGTTGCAAGTCCTGTGGTAGACTAGGTAATTCATAGGCATTGAATTTTTTATTTTTATTTTTTTTAAAGGCAAGCAGTATCTTATCTTTGTCAGAATTGTTTTTGTAGTAAAGTGAATTAGAATAATATTAAAAAGTCAGGAAAAAATATAAGAAAAATTTTTTTTATTGTGAAAGTGGTCTAACACTGAAACAGGCTGCCCAGAGAGGTTGTGGAGTCTCCACCCTTGGAAATACTCCAAAGCCATCTGGACAGGGTTCTGGGATGCCAGTTCTAGGCAACCTTGCTCCGAGCAGGCGGGTTGGACTAGACGATGTCCAGAGATCCCTTCCAACCTCAAATATTCCATAATTCTATGACTCTGATGACATACTGTGCTACTGAACAAGATTTGATTTGGTGTGGGGAGGCAGATGGACTCTTTTTACTCCTTTATTACAGCCTTTTAGTGGCCAGTTTAATTTTGCTGTCACTTTAACAAAGCCATTAGGTTGGCAAACTACATTCCATGCTATTTTTAAGGATTTCTTTTTTAACAAAACAAAGCTAAATACACATCCAGTGAACAGTCTAAGCTTAAAAAATAACTGGAGACCACCAAAATTTGTCAAATTCTCCTCCTGGGTTTCCATGGAAGCCATTTTAGTAACATCAGGGGTTTATATCAGTGGAGACATTGCAGAGGCATTTGCTTACATAGCAATTTTCTAAAATTAACCACAAGTTGAAAACCCTACATATCACACAAGTTACTAGTTCTCCATGAGATGTGGAACGAGGAGAGTTGGAAGCTTCCAGTGATTATTCATGCAATCACTAAATGAGATGGCTGTAAAGATCTACTACAAACCACTTTGACACCCACGGACCAAAGTGCTTGATGGAGTTAACTAAAATTTGTCTAAATTAAACAGTTCAGAAATGCATGCAACCGTTAAGCATCATTGCTGTGCTAGTCGATGGCATCCTTGGAAGGGAGCAAGAGACAGAGTACACCAGAGCTGTGCAGAACAGAAAATTTTGCTGACATGACATGGAATCTAGGACAGCTGATGGTATCACACAGGGAATAGAAATAGCTTTTGGAGTTATAGGATCAAGGTTAGAACAAGATTAAAGCTGAGCTGGCTTGAATGTAGCTGGCCTGAATAGTACGGAATATAAGCCACCCAAACAGTTCATAGGCCAACATTAATCAGGATGTTATTGTGTTATACTCTCGTGTAAA